AAAACATATATCTAGTAAATGCTAGGGCATTCACGAAGGTACAAGATACTTCTAGAAAATAGGTGGCGTGCCAATAGTCACGTGATCTCGCTGACGCAACAATATAATAATACTCTTTTACGTTATATGATAATACTCTGTTACGTTTTGTGATGATACTCTGTTACATTATATGATAACACTCTGTTACGTTTTGTGATGATACTCTGTTACGTTATATGATAATACTCTGTTATGTATAGTGACAATACTCTGTTTTATATTCTATGATCACTATTTTACCCTAGTTATCAATCTTATCCAAAGTAAAGCAGCATTTTCTTTTTACGACTGTTATAAGAACTGTGTTTTTGTTTAATTAAAAACTTCTTTTATGGCTTACGGCTACTCATTTAGATACAAAGTTTTATTTATATTTTGTAACCTCTTCCACACGATAAATTAAATGCTTATAACGAGCTTCAGATTGACAGTTTACTCGAAGGAATGCTTATTAACATATGGCGACAACTTAGAGATCCAGCAAGCAAAACAGAAACGTGATGTGTATAAAAGAGGGCCTAAATAAGCATGTTATATTTTACCTCCATAAAAATGTATTTTAAAAGTGGTGTGTGAGCCATTACTTAAGGTTAATAATTTATATGACAGTGAAGTGTGTATTTACATTTTATCCGCACTTTTATCAGTGTGTGTGTGTATGTGTGTAATATTTTCACGATGATAATAATAATTAATATCCCAATACATTTTTTGGCGAAGTTTGTTAACGTTTTTACTGTAATTAATCACGATACTAGTTCAATGATATTATCAACTCTCGATAATATATTAACTGACTCACTTTCATAGTAAGTCACGTCAACAGAAAACTATCTACCGTAGCAAAGAAGCGTCAAACGTCCCCAGAAACTATCGAACGTCCCTGACGCAACCCCTGCTGTTGATCTAAGAAAGTTTCATATTCCCGCGGAGACCAAAATCATGAACTCTGTAAGTAGTAACAAGTAGAAATAAGATGGTAGAGTAAGAAGCGCGTTTTAGACAATCCGATGACGTTCGGGTCATCTTATTACTGGACTCCAAGGAACCACTGACAATGACTTGGGTCATTAATTCGGGACGTGATTTCCTTGACGAAAGTTAGAACTATTTGACTCTGAAACATTACGGCTAAGTAGCTTTATGCCAGAAGTATGTGTAAAAAAATAGTCAAATTACCTGCCAAAGCTAGAACAATGATAATGTATTGTATGTCAGAGCTCACATTTATCTCGTGTTGTCCTCTACGGAACAGACCCGACAGGGTGCGAAATACTAACTTAGCGGACGAAGAGATAATAATTCTTAGTTACTCTTCTTTATGATATTACATGTCAACAAGACCATTTAGATAATTCTAGTGATAAAAGGGCAAAGGTCAAAGGTGAGATTTTGTGTCACTTATAACAAACAACCGTGAACGTCTCGAAAGGAAGATTAAATCTTCATAAAGTTATATTTCTACAACACAGATGTATTTAAAAAAACAGTGTTTAATGGTGCACAATAAATATTTAAAAATGAGACTACAATAAAAATACAATAGATTATTAAGTAAAGCAAAATTTGTTATTTTATTTTGAAACTGGGGACATTTTTTAGATATTTATTGTATACTATTAAATGTTGGTTTTTACTCTGATGTATCTGTGTTACTGAAAACTTACATAAGTGTCGTCTTAATCTTAATAAGTTATATTTCTGTATATTTTCTTTCTTGTCCGAGAATATCGACTGAAAGAAGAGTAACACTAGTGAAACAGATTTTTTCCTAAATACTCCAAGAAACTTACAGTAGACCTGTAGCAAAATTCTTTGGCTTACAGAAGGTGGCACACCATTCATTGCTATACACAGATAAGCACCTGTATGGTTCCTGGTGACTCGGATCAGATTCAAACTCTCGCTGACTTGATTAGGATCTAGAGAAAATATTACAGATCCATTATCCATCAGATTTTAATAACCTATGCAGATAGAAAACATACGTTTCAATTGTTTTGTGTTATTTAAACTGTGACTATGAATTATAAATAATAAATATTAAAATATTGTTCCCGATGATGACGTAAGCTTGTCAAAACATTCTACATTTGCTAATAAAGTTTCTTTCATTACTCATTCAAGCCGTCTCCAAACTTTAAATATTAGGATTCTTTAAACTAGAAACCAATCATTGTAATAATTTGAGTTTGGGCTGAACAAAATATAATAATGAGGTTTGTTTTATAGTAAAGCCACATTGGGTTATCTTCTGGGCCCCATGCGGAGAATCGAACCCCTGACTTTAGCGTTGCAAGTCCGTAGACTTATCGCTGTCCCACCGAGAAACAACAATGAAGACAGCCTTTTGCTAAAAATGAAACTGGTTGTACAACAGAGCACAGGTTATATGTAACAGCCGGACGTCCGTGGCAACAATATGCATTTCTTCCTCTTACATCCGTGGCAACAATGTGCATTTCTTCATCTTACATGCGTGACAACAATGTGCATTTCTTCCTCTTACATCCGTGACAACAATGTGCATTTCTTCCTCTTACATCCGTGGCAACAATGTGCATTTCTTCCTCTTACATCCGTGGCAACAATGTGCATTTCTTCATCTTACATGCGTGACAACAATGTGCATTTCTTCCTCTTACATCCATGGAAACAATGTGCATTTCTTTTTCTTACATCCATGACAACAATGTGCATTTCTTCCTCTTTTTCCTATCTTTAGATATATGACTCATTTTGCACGTACAAAAATTATATCTCATTATAACGTTTTTATTCCCATGACTTGCTGAAGATAGTTTTTTTTATCTTTATCCCGTACAACTGTTTTAACTATTTTTATATTTTCAACTATCACAGTGTCTTGTGGAGTCTGTATATCTTACAACATTGTTCTCAATGTTGTTCATATATACATACTAGATGAACAAACCAGAAAAATAAATATCTGGAAGATTATGAATTCAGATAACTGGGCGGCTTTTCTCTTCAGCGTCTGAAGAGCAGCAAACTTAAGAAGAGAAATAAGGTTTAAAGGATTTGTTACTCGTTGCAACTAATTACTTTTCGGTTTTAACGAGTACGATCATTAGAAGATCATATAGTCTATAATGATAACACAAGTCTTAATACAAGCATATGTACGGACTGTGCACGCCATCAAGGAATTATTTTAAAAGTCTGTACTTCTCTACTAAGTATTGTCAGTGTTGTTTACACTTAACATTACAACACAGAGTGCCATTCACTATTATTAAAACCATACAAGAAGCACTTCATAGTCTCTGAAATTGTCACTTGACACGAACAAGGATCTGATTTCAGAGAGGAGTCAAATGTAGGCGCATTCACTAAGATCTCCTAACATACGAACGATGTTCATGTACAAATTCCTACCTAAAGCTAGGAATTTAATTATTGGACAGTTTTCAAAGGATTTGTACCAATAGAAGAATTTCAACTTGCATTTCCTCCAATATGGTAATTATAAATAAATTCATATCTTTAGATACGTATAAGATATATATAGTTATTAATCATTGGCTACGTATGATACATATATTGATATTAATCTTTAGATTCAAATAATAAATATATAGATATAATCATTAGATACATATAAGATATATATAGATATAATCATTAGATATCTAAGAAATATAAACAAATATTAATCTTTAGATACATATAAGATATAAACAGATATTTATCGCTCGATACATATGAAATATAAACAGATATTAATTTTTAGTTAGAAATAAAATATGCAGATATTAATATTTCGATACGTATAAAATATATATTATATTGGGTGAAACAACTGTGTTAACTACACATTCACAACAGATATAGCGGCTTCTATTGGGTGAAGCAACTGTGTTAACTACACATTCACAACAGATATAGCGGCTTCTATTGGGCCA